CCCTAACCACGCCTCCCCCCACCCCCATTGGGAGGCAGTACTGCTGCCATTAACCAGGAGTACCAGTACTAGGGCAGTGAATCTTGGTCTGTTTTGATTGAACCATTATCGGTTAGTTTGCTTTTTAACAACAGAGTATTAGTCATGAATCCAGAGGATTTCCCTCAGTAAGAAATTGAAAGAAGAAACTCAGAGTTAGTAAGTGGGCATCACCGTGCCCCCTTGCTGGGTTCTGGCCAGCTGTGGGCTATCCTGATCATCTACCACAAGGTGCCCTTCTGGCTATGGACCATCAGAGCCAGAGCTGTGTGTCTACCAGCACTGGGGCCAGTAGGTCCCCCCTAGAAACCGGCACCCTGTCTGGGTTCTCCTCAAGGAGCAGAGGCAGCAGGAGTTTCAGCAATTGGTTCCATGGTGTAATGGTTAGCACTCTGGACTCTGAATCCAGCGATCCGAGTTCAAATCTCGGTGGAACCTAGCCTTGTTTTGCTTCTGCATTTCATCCCATACCTGCGGCTCAGGGAATGAAGCCACACCCTAACCCCTTGCCAAGGGCACTCGGGGTTGATGACACCCTGTGGCAGGCTTTGGTGTTATGTAGTCCTTTGGTGTAATGGTTAGTACTCTGAACTCTGAACTTGATGACCTGAGTTCAAGTCTCAGTATAGCCTCTCCTGATCCTACTTTTCTATACCACAGATCTGTCCCAGTTGCCTTACCGGTGCTGCTGCTGGGACCCGCCCACCAGCACTGTCCTCCAACAGTGAATGGGCAGTGCTGAAGGAACACCACGTGCCGATTTTATGTGAGCACGGTTGTCCAAGATTACTGAACCCCACACACAAGCTTTTACTGCATTTCCATTTAAAACATGACTTCCTCCTGCCTGAGTACCAGTTCTTCCTGAGGGCACGCGGAAATCATTTAGAACCGGAGCTAAGGTAAGGTGACCAGATTTTAACATTGGTAAACCGGGGCAAAAGCGGGACACCATTGATAAAACTCATATTCTGGTGAAATAGCCACATGGTAGCCGAAAACCTATACCCTAGCTTGTCGTGCATTCTTTCCAAAAATCAGGACTTTTTAAAAATGCTGCAGGACGCGGGAAAAATTAAGAATCAGATCTGTCCTACCAAAAGCAGGATGTCTGGTCACCTTAAGCTAAGGGCATTTCTGGGTTGACGAATGCCCCTAGTGGGGGTTATGGATTGAGGAGCAAGGCAACCGCTTATGAGGAAAACCTCCCAAACTCACCGGCAGTAAGTCACTTCCCACTCACAGCGACCGCAGAAGTAGCTGGGAAGACAGATTTGGGGCTAAGCAGTTGTCTGGGCTGGCTTTTCTTGTCTAACACATAGGACCATGGGTGCCCCCAGCTGTGGGGCAACAGGACGGTGTGGCCAAGCACCCAGAGGCTGCACTTGCCGAGCTTTAGGCCAACAGGGAGGCCACGGGCAGACATGATGCCGCCCTCAGCAGCCGCCAGCTGCAGGAGCTTGCAGGAAGGCTGTGCCCTGGTCCCACACCCAAGGCCGGAGTCCGCTGACGGTGAGGGCACCACGGATGAGGCCCAAGCCCCGACTCCAGCAAGGCTGTGAAGGGTCACAGCCGACCAGGGTCCCGTTCCGGCCATGAAGTCGGTGTCTTCACGATGGCTGGCAGGTGGTAGTGTTTGCATCGGTCAAGGTCAGCCCTCCAGTGCTTGGGCCTGGAGGACCGTGTCCTGGGAGTGGCACTCTGGGACAGGCAGTGGCTGGGGAGGGTCGCTGCGACTCGACTCGGGAAGGCAGGCCCCTCCCTGCGACACCCAGTTGCTGTCAGCTCTGCACAAGCAGAGATGCTCTTCAAGGCTTTATTCCACAATCAGTTATTCAGGGGTGAACACCCAATGGTATGTAGACTGAAAGCAAAAACTGTATGTACAATCCAACCCAATATACCGGTTCCCAACACAGAGGCCTACAGGTACGACATCAGATGGGGTGAAGGTGACCCTGTCGGCTGAGGCTTTAATTACCCTGAGGGTGAAAGAATGCCATGCCCGTTAGTGGACCCAGGTGCTCACAAATCAGCTCGAGGCCTAGTTACAGACTGCCCACACGTCACAGGCGGACTCAACACGGTGATCTTCACCCTTCCCCAGCCTGCTCCTGCTCCTGCCTGCCTGGGGCTGGTCGGCCGGCTGGTACCAGAGCTGGGCCCTCAGATTTGCCCCCCACCAGAACCACTGCTGCACCAGGTTGTCTGCGCTCGGAAAGAACTCCCAGCTCATCTCTGGTTCTTTGCTGGATCAGGACACCACGGGTATTTCCGCCTTGTTCCGGTTGGGGTGAGAAAGTGAATGTAAAAGGTAGCCTACGGGGCAGGCTGGAGGGCTTCAGGATGAAGCCCTGGACTCCCAGCAGGCTGATGCCCTGTTCCAAGGTCTAAACAATATCTTTATAAGAGGAACATAAACGGCAAAACCTGGAGTCTCAGCAGATGGAGCCAGGCTGGGAAACGCCATGCAGGCACAGCCACCACTGGGCAGCCAGGCCAACCCACAGGCCCCAAGTCAGCCAGGGGCTACAGCCTGCCCACCTTCATTTCTGCCTCAGACGACCTTGAAGCACATGGGCCAGACCCGGGGGTGGGGGTCTCAGTTCTCCCAAGGGCATGGTTTGGATTTATTTTTAGACCTAAATCACTAGCCTGCCTCTGTTCTTTTCTTTGGGATCCTATCGCAGTCTGAGGGTGAGGCCACTCACATCAGGTACCACCTCCGTTCCTGTTAAAAAGCTCCAATGTCCTGCACGTCATGAAAATAGCACCACATAAATAAATGGGTAAGGGACCTCAGGTAAGGCGGGCAGTGGAAGTGAGAGGACTGTGCCCATCAAAGAAGGAGCAGATCTAAGCCTGGGGGAGCATCTCCAAGTTCCCAGGCCCTGGCCCCTGTGCCGCCTCTTCTACCACTTGATGTCTAAGCTGCTGGCAGCGAGCCCAGCGCTGGGGAAGGAAGTGTGCAGTGCTTCCTGCACCCTTGGGGGGTCAGCCCCGTGCAGCCACTCCTGGTAAAGCGTCCGCACCTGTGCGCTGGCCTCAGGGGGCCGAGTGGGGACCTCTGCATAGATGTCTTCCATCTGCTGCAACAGCACCTTGTCTGCAGGCCCGTCCTCAGCCCGGGCCTGGCCTCTGCCATGCAAGCACCCTGCAACACACATGAGAGTGGTTTTAGGGGGGGTGTCAGTTCAGGGGAAGATGGGTTTGGAGCAGGAGGCGGAAGGAGCCCGCAGCACAGAGGTGCCCCTGGTGGTTGTGTGTGACTCTGGAGAGTGGCTAGTGTCCTGGACCAAGATCCCCGACTGTCTGGCCATGCTTGTGGGGCCAGTTAAGCCCTGTCACCACAACCTCCCCTCTGGACAGAGAATCAGCTTTCATCCTGGACATGGGCTCTCTCTTAGCCTCGGGCCTCCCCTTGCCAACATGACGACCACCTACTCCTCCCAGCAAGGCCTCAGCACCCCGTGTCCCCTCATCTAGTTTGCAGGGACTTCAGGGGATGTTCTAGAATACACATTGGTCACATCTAAGGGACCCGTCCATCACTGGGTCCAGAGCCCAGCCCCCGCAGCCCTCTGCTTTGACTCCACCCTCCAGTCACATTGTTTTTTTCACCTATTCTGGTGGTCACAATGGCATGCCACCTCCTGCTGAGGCCCCACCCTGTCCCTCGCTTACCTCCGGGACATGCCAGGACCTCCACAAAGTGGTACGGGAGCCTGCCCTTCTTCAGCTTCAGGACCACGTTCTGCACGTTTCGGAAGCCGTAGGCAGCGGCGAAGCGCAGCACCACCTCCCCATCTTTCTCCAGGGTGACCTCCTGGAAGTCTCTGTTTCTGGAATACGAGTGACAGGGGTTACTGGCCCGTCAGGGCCCCACTGGGTCTGAGGACAGCCATCTCCCTGGTGCGGAGTGTGGCCTGCGGGGAAACAAAGAAGGCCCTTTGCTCTCAGTGACAACTACAAAACGCTGAGGCAGCCACGGTGGTCCAAGCGATCTCCTCAGAAAACCTCTGGCTGCAGCAGCCACCAGCCACCAGGACCTGTCCCCTCGCACCTCAGGGCTCGATAGGTGACCTTCTCCACGTCCTCGCCAAACAGCTCCTTGGCAGCGTGTCGGAAGACGTGGGCCAGGTACCCGTCCGAGCCAGCTCCCTCGTGGCGCTGGATCTCTTCCTCAGTCAAGTCTCGGAACCTCAGGGCAGAGAGGAGGCCAGCATGAAACCGGAGGCCGGGCAGCGAGCACATGCCCGCCAGCTGTGAGCATTTTTACCAACCCGGCAGCTCGGGCTTCTCCACTCATCCGGAGCACCCCTCGGGCCACGGAGCAGGATGACGGACCTCCTGTGCACCGCAGGGCGCAGCTGGTCATGCTCTCAAGTCCAGCACTTCGGGGCCGTACAGCCCGGTCAGTGATGACTGACCTGGCCGGGGCCCCAGGCCTGCGTGTCATGAGGCTTCCCAAGCGGGACAGGCCCAGCCCAGTTTTAACAGCAGCTCTTCCCACCCACTCCCCTACGAGCATGCATGTCCCAGCACACGGGTGGCAGAGGACCAGCGAGTGTTGACGCCACGGGAGGGAGCTACAGGGGTGGGCCATGTGCCTCAGTGCCCTCAGCTGACCCTGTGCTCCCACGGAAGGAAGTCAAGGGCAGGGGGGGTCTGTGCCACAAAGGCTGCCTGGCAGCAAATGCAGAGGGTCAGGGTTTGGAGAGGCAGTGGCATCTGGGGCACAGCACAGCAGGAACCTACGGGCAACTCGACAGGCAGCTTCTTTGCTGGCATCCTGGCACCTCAGCCCCCTCCTCCCACGAGCGGGACACACAGCACCCTCACTGCTGAACCAAGAGGGCTGAGAGGCTCCCACCCAGCGCCTTGCCCCCACTGTGTGGTGCTGACTGGGATGCGAGGAGCTGATAGGATTAGTAGGGGAGTGTGTCAGGGGCAGACACGGTCCCACCCCTTCCCCTCCCTCTGTAAGAAGTGTGGCCAACACGTCATGGAAGCCCACCAGGCCACCTGCCCACCCTTATCTGACTCATACGCCTGAGAGGATGGCAGGGTTTGGTGGAACTGGCAGTGACAAGTGGCCAGGCCCCCACAGAGGACATGGGCACGGGCATGACGCTGGCCACACTCACACAGAACCCTTCCCCAGAAGACACTCACAGTGTGTCCACAGCCGCGTCCTTCACAGTGAGGTCACTCTGCTCCATCATTTGCAGGAGCTCACCTGGAGGCAGACAAGATGCACAGGCACCGTGGGCCCCGCTGGGCAGGACACTCAGGGGGAGTAACCGGCATGCAGGGCGACTGGCCACTCGGGAGAGGTGGTTAGACGCATCAATTCCAGGGCAGAACTGAGGTGCGAGCTCTTTAGGGAGCCGAAAGCCTTTCTTTCTCCCTCAGAGGGGCCGGGCTTTGCAACTGCTGACTGCAGCTGGCAGCCATCCTGTAACCCACCTGCCGCCAACACGCACACCAGAGGCCTGTCTCTGCAAGGCCCTGCACAAGCCCGGCCAGAAAATGCTGGCCCAGGCGGGAGGAGAAAGTGGAACTGATCATAACAATCGACGTATAAGCTCCTCCACCCTGGGTGAGGACCAACAGGAATGTGGGTGAAGGGAGACAGCAGACAGTTTAAAATAAGAAAATAGTAATTTACAAATGATCAAGGATTCATCAGGGTGGGAGGGGGGAGAATGAGGAGCTGATACCAAAGGCTCAAGTAGAAAGAAAGTGTTTTGAAAAGGATGGTGTCAACCTATGTACACAAGTACTTCACCCGACAGGAGGATGGTGAGAGGAGCTGTCAGAGCCCCCAGTGAAACGATTCAAAAAGAAAGAAACCCCAGGAACAGTCATGGAACAGTCACAGCAGGCCCAGGAGCAGGGTCACCACAGGTCATAGTGTCCCCACTGAGATGACGCAGATCGTGGACTCAGAACCCCCAGGGTGCGGGTCGTCCTCAGAGACCATGCGCATCCTCAGGTTCGCAGGATGAGGGATGGTCGTGGCACCCTCCGGGGGCAGGGCTCTCCTGCTGAGGGAGGCCTGCTGTCCCCACAGGGCCAGGGCGGGCCAAGGCCTGATGGAGGGGAAGCAAAGCTGCCACTAGTGACACCACCGTGGGACCTTGTATTCACCGCGGTTTAAAATAGCTCCCACCGCCCTGGCTCTGCACAGCTCCGGGAAACCTCAGAGCAGCGTGTCCACCCCAAACGTGCACAGGCCCCGCCGCAGGTGCTCACGGCTGCCCCCACCGTGGGCCACCGGTGCTGCTGTGGCACCTGCTGCTTGGTTCCTCACGTGGGCTCGTGGGTGTGTTGTAAAAGGAGGCCCTCTGAAGTCGCTCCCAAGAGGTGTGGATAAGGCTGGCCCCACAGTCCACACCTGAGGGGTCTCTGGGGAACAGCCACGCCCGACTGCTCTGGAGGAAGGCACAGGGCACAGGGTGGGCTCACCTGACGTCAGCACGCAGTCCACGCCCTGCGAGGTGCCTGAGCCCACACCGTGCACGTCCTCTCGCAGAGCTTCCAGCTTCTTGTCGTAACAGGGGCCCACGATGACATGGAAGAGTTTATCTGGAGAGAGGTTCTGTGGAGAAAGAGCCAGGGACTCAGGTGGCTGCGATGGGTGCCCGTGGCTCCTGCTCAGCGCTGCGCACCAGTGGTGGTCCAGCTCCCTACAGCCACCCTGGCAGCATGGGGCACACAGGTCATTGCAGAATTGGGAGAACTGAGGAGCTGGCCCTGGACCTCCTGGGAGCCTGCTGCCTCGGCAGTCAAATGTGAGGAAAGGCCCAGTGATGGCGTGTGCCCCACCACAGGGCTTATGGCCAGTCAACACTCCCCAGTCACCTTCCCTATGGCAGCCACCTCTGCCATGAAGCCAGAACTCCCTGGGCGGCAGGGCCAAGAAGGACATGGCTGAGAGAGCCCTGGAGTGTCCAGTGGGCTCCCTGTTCACTCTCAGGACAGTCAGGTTGCCCCCTCCACAGTGCCTGCGCGCCGAGGGCCCGGCCTGACCCCAGATGAGGAAGAGGACAGTCTACCTGCCGTCTGGCGAAGTAGTCCTTCACCAGGGAGCCCATGATCTGCTGCGGGGACTTGGCAGTGCAGAGGTGGGGGGTGATGGGGCTCCCCAGCACCCGCTCAGCGTACCGGACCCAACCTGGGGAGACAGAATGGGTTCCAGGGCACCGCTCCCCCATCACCCCCGCCCCTCCGCCCCCTGGCCCCGAGCTGTGCAGGGTGGCCAGGCTGTCCTTGGTGGAGACATGGCACTGCCGCCATCTATCCAGCGTGAGTAGAGCGCGACGGTGACGTTAGAACAAACGGAAACCAGGGTGGGCATGGGGTCGGGTGAAGTGAGGATGGCCGTGAACAGACCCTGCAGTGTGACTGTTGGCAGCACAGTCCCCTCACTCCAGGACCTGGGCACACAGAGCCAAGTGGGGCCAAATGCCACCTCTGGGGGCACCCTCTATTCTTTAAACATCCACAACCCCATATCCCTGCTCTTCGGGAATGGACATGCCTGTGGACAATCCTTCCCGCACCTCAGCAGCCCACTCTTCACAGGGACACAATTGAGATAGCGGCTCCCTGCCGGCCAGGTGCAAGAGCCGGCCATGACCCCAACAACTTCAGGGCACACAGCATTTGTTGAACTCTCAGCTATTTAACTTCTCAGAAACAAACAGGTTTTGAAACATGATGTTTGTCTTAGAAACTTTAGAAAAATCATTAAAACTCAGATGCCACCTCATCCCAAGTTGGCATTGCTAATAAGTCAGTGACACAGAACAAATGAGAACCATGAGGTCAATGTGCTGGCCCCCGCCCGCCCCCATGTGCTGTGTGCCAGGTGCCTGGCTCAGCGAGGCTGCTGGGCTCACCGGGACAGGCAGAGGTCAGCATGGGCAGCGCCCGCTCGTCCTCACTGTGCTGCTGGTAGCGCCGCACAAACTCCTTCTGGCTCTCCAGGATGCTGAAGTCAGCAGCAACGGTCGTGACGAACACGTAGTGCACCCCTGAGGGAGAGGCAGGTCAGCTTCCTGCCCCCATCCGGGACCACACCATGGGGACATGCCTGGACCGCGTGTCCAGTCCACAAGTCTTCTTATGCCTATCTACGCATCTGGAGGGAACCATTTCACCTGAGCAGGATGTGCTAAAACGGATGTGACACCATTCCCCACAGACGGGTAAGCACAAGCCAGCCAGCACTAACTGGGCATATGGGCAAGCACGAGTGGGCACTAGTGGGTCTCCCTGTGCTCAGCACTCTGCCCACATGGCACCAGGCCCTCTGTGAGCGTGGCAGTGGCTTGTTCTCTCCTGGTCGCAGCTGCTTCCATACCCACTGCGTGCTCACTGCCTTATTACCTAAAATATTTCATTATATATGAGAGGGCTTCAAAAATTTCATGAAAAATGTTAAGATGGATGAATTCTTCCAAGCACCTTTTGAAATTCTTTCATGTTTTTAACCACCCCCCAATGCCACTGTTCCCCACCCTAGCCCCAAACACCAGGGCCTTTCTCCATGAAGACTTCAGGCCACCTTTTTGACAGCTTGAGCCTTAAGTAAAACTAGGTAGGCCTCAGGATCTAACCTCCTCGCCATGTGATAACAGCTGTGGGCTGGCCCTACAGACTCAGGGTCTGCTCTCAGAAGCCTCTTCTCAAGAGTCGTTTTACCTTTGTTCCTTCATCTCAGTGCGTAAGTCTCATAAAAGCCACTGGAAAGTCAGAAAAACCCTGCTCTGGCTAAGTGCCTAAATTCTCCTGTGTAGACCCCACACACTGAGCCCCAGGTTACAAGCTGCGCAGAGCCACACTGAGTCCGCTGGATGCCCACCATCAGCTCAGCCGTACTCAGAAAGGGGCACGGAGGAGTAGCCATCTAAGGTCAACTGCTGGTCCTTCCCTCCAGAGGAAAGAAACACCAAGAAAATTCACTACACGTGGAAACAATGAGCCTAACGGTCTCAGAGACCACACAAGCACCAGTCTCCACCACCCTGAGGGCAGAATTAGACAGTGCCTGGCTACCGCTACCAACTGCTCTGAAAGGGATCCCATTAGAAGGTCATAGATAGAGTAGGAGAAAAATGTGGAACAAATCTCAAAATTTAAAAAAAAGACCAGGCTTACTGGTTGGAGAGACTGGTGGCACCCTGCAAATACGGGCCTTTGGTCACCCAAGTCTAGAAATGAACTCCACCCCATGGCTCAATTTTCAGCCACACAACAGAAAGCTCCATAGGGAAACAGCACTAGGGAGGTCCTTACTTCTTAGAATAATCAACCATTTGCAATCAAACGGGCATCATTTATCTCAGGACAAAATTCCAAACGGTTAGGAAAAGAAGAGAACTGGAACTAGGAAATATACAGGGCGAACTTGGGATAAGTGATTCACTGTGGTCAAATATGGCCCTTCCCGCCACAATTCTATGTGATGCAGCATTCTGGAGCCTACGTCTGTGTCTACACCCTCTTTGGAGGGCATTCTCTACTGCGCCACCAACCGCTCGTAGGAGAAAGAGGAGGCGCCCAGTCTCAGAACCACACAAGGCAGTTCTACTGACCGGATGGCAGTGAGTTTTCTTGTTTATTTTCAGTCGAGGGTGTAAACCAAACCACTCCATTTCCTTGGGGGCATTTTTAAAACCTCTTTACCAGAGGACATGACCGAAGATATATGGAGTATTCATGCTGCGACCACTGTGTCATTCTTACACATCTCGTCACCTGGAAAGCCACATCTGTTTCCTGACTGAGCTTTGGCAGAAGCCAAGAAAACTTGCTGTGACTTTTGGACATTTTTGGTTTCTGGCTCTAGATCCTGCATTTGGCTCGCCTATGCCTGACCTTTGGATTTAGGACTGAACAGCTACCACCATGTGAAATATGTCCTTAAAATTCCGCGAATTTCTATGGGACTTTGCAGCAAATTCTAGAACTCAGGGATGTGAGGGAATATACTTACGGGAGGAGTGGGAGGAAGTGGAGAATAGCATCTTGGAAGAGTTGGGATTTGAGATCTTTAACTTTAATCTCCACATCCCCTTGGGTTTCAATCCCCAAACCGAACTTACTGCCATCAAGTCAATACCAACTCATAGTGGCCTTGTAGGACAGGGTAGAACTGCCCCTGTGAATTTCCAAGATGGTAACTATTAAGGGGAGTATAAGGCCCCATATTTCTCCTGAGGAGTGCCTGGTGGTTTTGAACTGCAGACCTTGTGGATTCCAGCCCAACAAGTAACCAGTGCACCACCAGGGCTCCCCCTTGGGGCTAGTCTGGTATTACTTATTCTAAAAGACATCATTGCCCAGTCATATCATATTGTGGGGACTGTAACCAAAGACATGAAAATAAGATGTATATGAATTAGGGAATTGAAATCCGATCTACTTTGTAAACTTACATCCAATTCACAAGTATAAGTGACTAAGTAAATAAAAATAACCTAAAAGTAAGTGTCAAGCAAAAAAAAAAAAGGTCCAACAAAGGAAAAGGACAGTGAGATGTCCAATTTGAGAATGTAGTCCATGTCATGAATTATGCACATAAAATACTGAATTTTTACAACTGTTTTCGTCATATGCACGATAAAAAGTCAGTCTAGGAAAAGAAGGGAATGAGAGCCAGTCATTTCACAAAATCAGAAAAAGCAGCAGAATTCTGATATCTGTTCCAGCCCTCCCTGCTTCCAAGTTCACACTTGAGCTGCTGGATCCCACTGACTTCCGGGCTTCAGTAAAGTGATCACCAGGAAATCCCAAAACAGCTCCGCAAAGAGCATCTTGGGGAAACCAGGTGGCAATCGTTTCGGACTGCAACTCCTCTTACACACACCCCGATCTGCGTGCCTGAGGCGGAGAGGGAAACGGCCCCTGCACCACGCAGGGAGCGGAGCAGGGCAGAGCTGGCTCCTTTACAAGGCCCGCCAGGCTCCCATGGGCTATTTCTCCACCATGGGCCCTGGAGACATGGACCTGAGAGAGAAATAATAGTTACACATTCCTGAAACACCCAAAGTCCACTCACCCAAATTTTTGAGGAAGCCACTGAGTCTTCTGGCGGCATCAGTCACACTGAGGTTGAATTTAGCAGCAAAATAAGGCAAAGACTGAGGGCACACAGACACTGCCAGCACTCTGTGCTTCGAGGTATCACATTTCTAAATGGCAAAGAGAGTACCATGGTGAAAAGCTAATCAGCCCCTTACTGAGTGAGACCCCTGAAACAAAAAGACCTCCCAGTGTTTTGTGAAAAGATGAATAAGAGACGAATGCTGGCAAGTATCATTATGAAAAAAATAAGGAAAAAAACCCTCAGGAGTAAAAACTGGGGGAAACTGCAGATCCAAGAGTTTGGGAGTTTAGAACAATATAGTATCGCTGACTGTTGAAGACCTGGAGGAAAATATAAACTATTACCATTGACCGTGAACAACTGAGCTGACCCAACCATGATTGAAACACTCACAGCCACACTCACAGACACATATTCCGATAATACTATGAAACAAGAGGGCTAAAGGCTCAAACGCCTCCACAGCTGCACCTCTGCTTATGCACACTCACACACACATCTTTGGCTCACACTGAAATTCATCCTCATACTCACATCTCTCACTCACACGCATTCAGGCTTTCATACACACACACACACACACACACACACACACACATTTTGTTCAAATAAGCACTCACACACCCCCACGTACCCCTTG